TACCCAAAATCCTCCGGCCGCCACTTTATTTTTTTTTGTTCTGTTACCTTAAATATTTTTTAACTTTGTTAAAATAAATTTGTCTTATAAATACACACTTTTATTTATTACCTAATACATTGGCACTGTTATAAATACATGCTATACTAATAATCATACATTTCTAATAGTTAAAATATGAACTGATAATTGCAATTAATTAAAATATTTATTATTATTTCTCGTATTATAATAAACACCTAATATTTGCTTAGTTCTAGACTTTGTGTTATAAAAAATAATACCCGATTTCTTGTCTGTAAAATTATCATATTAACCACTAAACCATCTGAATGTTCTAAAAAATTCTAAGGTTTAACTATTACATTTTGAACCATTTACTATAAGAAAGCCTTTTTATTAGAAAGCGCTTGTGGATGAAGTATTACCTTAAGTTCATTTACTATAAAAAGGCTTTTCTAATATAAAGCGCCTATGGATTAACTATTAAGTGACTACCATTTACTATAAGAATACTTTTCGAACACAGCGTTTTTTTTATTAATATTAACTAACTAATGTTTTAACTGTTAATGAACTAACTTTTATTAACAACTAAATATGATATACTTTAAGATGTGTTTACTATAAACCCATATGAGGTCGGCAAAATACAATAATACGTTAAGGTGGATATAAACCCTTTACGGTGTTTACAACCACTCCTTTCTCTCTGTGAGGTAGTAAAAGCATACTAAAAATATCAGTTCACTAAGTAAATTATTATTATTTTTCACTAAGTAAATTATTATTATTTTTTACAATGTTTTAAAAGTCTAAACCTATCCTCCCGGACTGTTATTCTTTATAGGTTAACCTATATGTTTTCAAATATATAAGGTAGTAAAAGCATACTAAAAATATCAGTTCACTAAGTAAATTAAACACATCCAAAGTAATCGAATCAAATATAAAATATTATTAAAAATTAATAGAAATAATTTGTTACAAAAATTGATTCTATCCTCCGTGAATCTGTTTTCCTTTAAATTTTATGCAACGAATGGCGCTTTAATCATTTTAAATAAGCAAAAATCTCTGTTTACGACATTATAGATGCATGTGATAGAATTTATATGCAGATGAGAGTGTTGCTGATTTATAATTTAAAAGTTTAAGTTCATTAATTTGCTATTTAAAAACCTATCCAGCATGAATTGTAATATGTCAGTAAGTAGATTTTATTATAAATATTTTATGTATGTACATTGTACAATTGTATTTTTAAAAAATATTAAGGTGTCAAAAGATACAATAACTTATTTCAAATATAAAAAGGGATGTTTAAAAAAAACATACGAAATCCTAACCTCTGTGAAGCTATCTTCCGTGAAACTCTAATATTCAAAATGTATGTATTTATTTATTTATTTATTTATTTATGTATTTATTTATGTATGATGCTGTTTTATAATTTAAAAGTTTAAGTTCATTAATTTGCTATTTAAAAACCTATCCAGCATGAAGTGTAATATGTCAGTAAGTAGATTTTATTATAAATATTTTATGTATGTACATTGTACAATTGTATTTTTAAAAAATATTAAGGTGTCAAAAGATACAATAACTTATTTCAAATATACAAAGGGATGTTTTAAAAAACACCTCCGTGAAGCTATCTTCCGTGAAACTCTAATATTCAAAATGTATTATTTCTTAAAATTCTTGCATTAGTGCAGAACCACTTATGTTATGGTGGCTTTCCAAAAACCCCATTCTAGACTAACAGTGAAACAACCAAAAATAAAAAATAATTATTTTCACTTAAATAATCTCTTAAATTATTAACTTTAAGTATAGGAAAGAGTTACATTAATCAAAAGGTTTTTTAATTTACTATTTGATTATGTAAAAACACACCGCCTCTTACATTTAAAATAAAAAAGTTATTAACCTTTCAAGTTAGCCTAATTTGTCTTGGGTTTTCTTGTTTAAAGATTCCAAAAATTCCAACGCCATATTCGAAAACCTAATAATAAAAAAGTTATAGGCTATTTTTGATTGACGCGCATTACTCAAATTTTAACGAAAAAATTAATAACTTGAAAACTATTTAGGTACTTTAGGTATATATGACTTTAGGTATATATGACACGTAAAAATGTAAAATTATATGGGGTATTTTATTTGAAATAACAAAGTTAATGTCACTTCCGGTTAAACCGGGAGTGGTATTTTGTTTACAATATTTTAGAATAGAATAAAACTTTTAAAATCGATCTTTTTTCGTTCCCCAGAATATACATATATAAAATATTCTCCCAACTTTTTTAAAATATTAATTTATTATGCTTTCCCTTGCATGCATACTTTACAGATTTAAAAAAAAATAGGTATAATAAATTATACCTACTTAATTAATAACCTATAGACACCGTGTTGATTTATTAGGTACTTTTGAAACTTTTTTTAAATTTAACTTAATTAATCTAATATTTGTATTTTAAATTTAATTTTAAAATTTACGGCAATATCCCGTGTCCGAAAATGTTAGGTGAGGTTGACAGATTTAAAGATGCTAACAGATTTAATAAAATGTCCGCCCTTCACAAATAGCTGTTTTCACTTCAAACCCTCACAGTAAAAATAATAAAAATCTTCTTGTCACAAATTCACAAATATATCTCAACTTTCCGAAAAAGTTTCATATTTCTCGTAATTATTAAAATCATTTTAATAAAATGTATTGGACAAAAAACTATTCAAAATTTTTCATGTCGCTTCTCACGAAATATTATTCATAACAATTTTATATTTACAGCATTTGTATGAAAATGTATACATTTTCATACAAATGCTGTAAATATAAAATTGTTATACGTACGAGTATGTTTTGGGTACAGATAAGAATTTTATTTAGATAAATTTAAAAATTTGCATATTTTATATCCTAGCTAGGTATACCTAGCTAGGATATAAAATATTGATTATAATCAATATTGGAAAGCTATTTACGTTAAATGGCAATCTATAAATTTTTAACTTTGCCAACATCATTAAGAAGCAATTTTCACAAAGCGTTTTCGCGTTAAGGTGTATAAGTAAAACCTTCGTTGAAAATCATTTGAAATTTTATTTTTATCAGAAATGAATACATTGTTAAAAATGCTCCCATAGTGTATACACTGTAATAAAAATCAGATTTATGAACATGAGTTTGTAGTTAGTTAATTTTATTTTGTAAAATTTTAACATAATTTTTTGTAGAAAACCAGGGTTTGTAATTATTTTAACAAAGGAAAATATTTTACCGAAAGTTTCGTATAGGTAATAGTAATTTTTTAAGCATTTTGTTTATTTCAAAGGTTACAGATTATTTTGTTAATGTTTAACAAATTATTTCGTTGAAAAAGTACACGTGATTTCAGAGAGTCAATCAAAACATTTCCCCGTAACAACTGTTTATAAACACTCTATAGAGTGTTATAATATATTACCAGAAATCTGTTATTATTGTTATTCGGATTCCTTATACCTGTGTGTTTGAAGTGCGAAGTATCCGAAAAAAACATCACTGGTTTTCAAACTGAAATTGGGGGATACAGTGAAGTGGGTAAAAGTTACGAAATACATCAGTAAGTATTATAGTAGTACTGACAATTATATTGTACCAAATTTCTTTATAATTCGATGATTTTAAAATGGTGTGTTATTTAATTGTGTGTATGTTATTTTGTGTTCATTTATACATTTAGGCATGTGTTAATTTTTTTGTTTAGGAAATTGATTAATAAAGCAACCGTTCTTATCAAAATTCTTTTCATTATTAAAGTATAAAGTTCCCAATTTCCAAGAAATACTTTTGTTACTGGGTCTGCAAAAAGGTTTGTTAAAATAGGATCCTTTTTGAAAATTACAAGAATTATGTTTGAATTATTTACCGGATTTTGTAATTAAATCTACAAAATGTTTGTTATAATTACAAACTACCTATTCAATTAGTTAACAGATTACAGTTGGTTGTAAACTTAACATAAAGTTATGTGAACCTGCATTAACCTAAAATTTGGTTAATATTTGGTTAAAATTAACAACAAAATAATTTTACCTGAAATTTTTCATGTTTTCCTAAATATACAGAGTGTCGATTTAATTCAATTTTTTTTTATCGGAATTATATTTTTTTAACAAGCAGATAATTTCAAAAACAAATTCTCATAATAAAAAAGTTTTTCTATGGCAACCCAAACCGGGGAAACACTGTATATAACTTCGTTGTAATTAACAAATTTTAACAATCCTTTGTGCTTATAGCATAGGTACATTGCGTTAATTAAATTATGATAATTAGTAAATGTCGTTAAAATCTCCAGTTCTATTATGACTACATTTCATATAAAGTTTATGTCACAGCGCAATTCCAATTGTGGCATTGTCTTACTAATATGAATTCCTCTCTACCCCCCAATCGTTCCAAGTTAATTGAAAACTATCATTTTCAGATTTGGCTCTACGTATAAGCCAAAATATTACGCTGAAATTAATTATGTTATAATGAGGCATGATTTGTCAAGTGGATGGGGGATTTCAAAAACTAATAACTAATTACCTGGGTCCCCAAAAATTAAAAAAAAATACATATCGAATTTATTAATGTCTGTTTTAAGTTATTAAAATATTAGTAAAGCACCCGCTTGTCATTTAACTTGAAACTTTGAAATATCTCAGTTAGTATGCATTTTACGAAAAAATGTTTAAAATAAAAATTAAATGATTCGAGGGGGAAATCAATCAGTACTAAAATTGGTCCTCATACTCTTTTTCTTATAGGCGGAACAGGGGATAACTTTAAAATTTCCAATGGAACGCCCTATTTTTTATTGAAGATTTGGATCATTCGACTAAAAATAGGTAGATTTTGTCTAAAACATTTTTTCATATTTGTAATAGATGGCCCTGTAATTTTCGTTTTAATATTCTGCTAACACTGCTCTGGAATATTCCCAAATCTCTAGATCATTCTCAGGTGCATGCATGAGGATTAGCGGCCGTTGCTGCTAATACATTAATTTCATTATTTCCACCTGTGACTGTTGCTAGACGAAAACTATTTCTCGGTTGAACACTCCCGTTTGTAGTAAACCGCTTGACTGTACGGTGAAATGAAGTACTTGATCGAATTTTATCCGGAAAACGCTGAGCGTAGATATTAACAGCATCATCAAGATTCCTGCCTGCTTCTCCATAAATCAAAATCATTTCTATCTTTTCTTCCACTGTTAAAAAATCCATTATGAATAACTGCTTAACAGAAGGAGGTCTTTTTGTTTGCAAATTAATCTTCGAACTAAATTAATTAAATAAGGCTAAACTTTATACCTCAATAATAATTATTATTTATAACTAAATACCACTTTTTTTACCACAATTAGGATTAAATTAATGAATTGACAAAATAATGTTTTTTTACCTTAAATGAGGTACCTATATTTATTAAAAATAGTACAATAATCGTTTAAATTTCTGATTAAAAACCCCAACATTTTTAAATATGAATTATTTATGTTTAAAATATGGTCAGAAAATGTAAATTTAAGATCAAATGTGATGCCCAAATCTTTTACATTGGTACAACATTGTTGTTTGGGAAATAATTGAGGAGCATCCGTGCAAAACCGGCTAAATCCATTTTATTCAGTTTTTGGTTTTTTTTTTGATTTCGCATCTTTGGATTCATTTCTATCGACAACCAAGATAATTCAGTTTAAATCCGACTAAATCCATGTTAAAATCACATTTAAAAGGTAGCTTTTGGAGCAAAACCGGCCAAATCCACGTTTATATATATATATATATATATATATATATATATATATATATATATATATATATGCTATAGCAAACCCGGCTATATCCAATAAAAAATAATAATATGTGGCTTGGATATGTCGATACTACTACTAAAATTTGTTCTGTTTTTTCAGGTTTGCACTAAATTTATTTTGTTAATATTTTTGAATAATAAAGGTTTTTTTTCACGTTTATTCGTTTTTTATTCGGTTTTCGAGCAAAACCGGCTATATCCAAAACATTTTTTGAAATTTTGGCCTTAATATAAAGTTTTTGAAAACGAAAGTATGTCTTATAAATCAAGTACCACAAAGCCCACAAAACTCAAGTTTGCTTTTTCTTTTATCTGTAAAGGCCAGGAGTTTTTGCCATTTTCCCAACATTTGGAGTGGATATAGCCGGTTTTGCACGGATGCTCTTCAATTAAACTCTATGGGACTAAATTTAGTGTATGTACAAATTTTACATTTTGCGATGTTAAGATAAAGTTTATTTATATTGCACTAATGTTCAATATGATTTAAAGTTTCCTGCAAACTTACACAATCCTGAATTGAGCTAATTTGAAAAAACACTTTTAGATCATCGGCAAACAGTAAAGAAGGGACATTTAAGTTAGACGGTAGGTCGTTAATAAATATCAAAAACATAAGTGAACCCAGATTAGAGCCTTGAGGCACACCTGAAAAGAAGAATTATTGATGTAGGATTTTGTTATTAAATCTACAAAAAGTTTGTTATAATTACAAAACACTTATTTAATTAGTTAACAGATTATAGTTGGTTGTTAACTTAACATAAAGTTATGTGGACCTGAATTAACATAAAATTTAGTTAAATTTAACAAATATTTTTTCACTGAGTATAAAACTTTCCAGAAAAATTCTTAAAAGCTAAAAAGTTAGTAGAGATAATATAAAACTTCTCAAATATTTGTTGCTAATATTGCTGACAGAAAAACCAATGCCTGTAAAATGTTTACTGTACTGGTTATTTTATAAAGTTTGATTCTCGAAAACTGCCAATAATAGAGTATACGACTAATTGGCGCTAAAATCGTTTGAACGAAAAACTTTTTCTTCAAAATCTTCCCAATAGAAACTCATTAAATCGCAGTGTCAAGTAAAGCTGCATCGATCCCGAAAATAAAGGATTTGTCGAATTCCTGAAAGACGATCCGTAGTTTTCTATTTTTATTTTACAGTTTTATGAAAACAGCATGTTGAAGTTTAATTAGTTTAACCCTTCGTGAGGGGTAATACCGTCTTAAAATATATTTAATTACTTATAGCATCTGAAATTTTGTTCAAAATATATTTTTTCTACTCCCACCTTTAAAACGCCCTTTATCGTACATGTTTCCATGACACTAAGTGACCTTTTAAATACACATTAACAAGCTGTGGCTTTATGGCGCTTTAGTCACGGGCTGAAGTTAGTTTTAAGTTAGTTGACAGTTGTCAAATGTCATACAATCGTTAAAATAAATTGCCTTTCTTGTAAAATAATACTAAATGTGAAAAGTATTTTATTATCTCAATACAAAAACACAAAAGTATTAAATAGTTTCTCAACGCCAATATTTGAAAAGTTTATATGAACATATAGTTTACTGCCGGCGAAATAAACTTAAATTTGGGCACGGACTCCACTGTAAAGTGCTCATAAAACATTTTCTTTACTTTCACTGTGAAAAATTCAATTTTCAAGAAATAAATTTCGTTTTATAACCTTTATTGTGTTTATTAAATGAGTTATTTTTATTAAAAATAGTACAGTAATCCTTTAAATTAAAGGATTTAATGCTGGCAGGTAAAAAGTGACCATGGTTCGCAATTGATAAAATATTATCACCGAATGAAATAATGTATAAAACTTAAACCAGAGGAAACTTAATATTAGTTAAAAAATCGTGGGTACTCAGATTAAATTTAATAATATAATATAATAATATAATTTAATAATATAATTATTACCAAAAACAATTGTATTTTTATAGAAAAATTATTGCAGAATCGTATAAGAAGAAAAATCGAACAAAATTGATTTTTTTCATTACAGCGCCATCTATTACAAGTATGAAAAAATGTTTTAGACAAAATCTTCCTATTTTTATTTGAATGATCCGAATAAAAAATAGGATGTTCCATTGGAAATTTTAAAGTTACCCCCTGTTCCCCCTATAAGGAGGGGAATATGAGGACCAATTTTAGTACTGATTGATTTCCCCCCTCTAATCATTTAATTTTTATTTTAAGCATTTTTTCGTAAAATGCATACTACACTGAAAAAACGGATTTGTAAATTTACTTACTGCTTTTTAGGTGACCATTAAATTTAAAGTAAATTTACAATATTTATGTAATATGATATATGTTACATATTTTTTGTAAAATTCAGATACAAACATTTAGTAAAATTACTAAAGTTGTCTAATAGGTATTTACTAAAATTTTGTAAAATTACCATAGCAAGGTAATATTACATATTAAAAATACTTGCCCTAAACGGTTTCTTTTGTAATATTGCTTTAAATTAGTAATATTTGCTTTTAGTAATTTAGCTTATTAAAAATACTTATCTTAAGTAATAACAATTTGTAATATTACTTCAGGTAGGTAAGTATTATTTCCTAGTATTTTTATTAAAATACTGATGTAAAATTAAAAACTATTCTTAGCATTTTTACTGGTTTTGGGATAAGTTTAGCAATAAATAAAAAATTGATTTTGCTTAAAATAACTTTTAATAAACCTAAAAAACATATTTTTTTCCTAATAAGAATGTTGTAAACAAATCAAAAATATGGACAAATGCGTGAGAATAATTTAAAAAATTGTACCCATAAAATGCTATAGATTTTACAAATGGCGTCTTAACTAAATTATTTTAATAAAGAACAGTACCACAGACATATCACAACAAATTTTGTCTTTTATTTTAAGAAGTCTTATGTTTACCTAAACAACAGCACCAGCAAAATGCAAACGATATTTCAATTATCAATTTAAACAACACGTACCTACACGTCGCGACGCGTCGTACACTGGATTACGAAGCGTTAAGGGACGCCGCATCACCTGATCTATACTATGCAGTGATTGGTCAAAAGATTACTGAGATTTTGTAATTTCGCAAAAGATTTGTAAATATACTTTTCTATTGTATTATGAAATATTTTTAGTAAAATTGTGCTGTAAATTAAAAAAAATATGTTTTTTTTACTTACCTGAAGTACTTTTACATTTTAATTTACCGCATTTGACGGAAAACTTGAAATTTACTTTGGAAAGTTACAAAAAAAACTATTTTTACCATAAAGCCATTGGCATTTTAATTTTATTTAGTAAAAACACTTTAAAACTAAATTTACTTCAAAAATATTGTTAATTTACCATATGTTTCATGAAATACTATTGTAAATTTACAATAATTTTTTTCAGTGTAACTGAGATATTTCAAAGTTTCAAGTTAAATGACACACCCTGTAATAACGTGCACGTGTTAAATATATCTAACACGGGCACACATAATTGAAATTGTTTCTAAGAAATATTAAAACATTTCATTTAAAATATCAAAATAACTATAAATAAAACTTTACGTAACTACTGAAAAGTAATCATTCTAAGGAATCAATATTGAACTCCCTCGAGAGCAGAGTTCATCATATACAAATATGGGATAAAGCTTTATTTTTTCCCGAACCTTTAATAAAAGATTATTTTCATGCCAAGATATCCCAGTGAGGAAGTCTGATATTTAAGTAAACGAAATATTTAATAATTTATTTGAAAGGGTGCATTCGGTCGTTTGGATATAGTGCATTTTCATAAAAGGTAATATTTAGTTATGCTTTTGCACATTTAAAATTGTCGATTATAATTACACAAGAGCTTATTTTTAGCCGGATAAATTTTTGTTTTCCTTAAAAGCTTGTTACCTAGCAATTTGACAAGAAAAAATGTCATCAATCAAACTTGCGAGACCGTAGGTCGAGCGATTTTGTCAGATGACATTTTTTCGAGTCAAATTGCTAAAAGGTAACAAGTTTGAAAGTTAGAAAACATAAATTTATCCTGCCAGAAAAAAAGCTCGAGTGTAATTCGACGAGATAATTTTGTGATTAATTTTTTTCATATTGCATGCCCAATCAAGCAAAATATTTGCTGAATCTTGCTGTGATATTGAGTCGAGTAGTTTGTAATTCCTCGCATTACAAAATGCCATATATTGTCGCCAAATTGACGCTTTATTATTAAAGAATTATTTGGGATTCCTTTTACAATTTGTTCTTTATTGTTTTTCGCCGGAAACGACACCAAAACGATTCATTTTAAAAGATCTTTTGACACCTGCTATTAAAAAATAATTATTTGCAAGGTTGTCAAGGAAATGAAATGACACGAGGTAAATAAATAATTATTTACTTGCAAAAGTTACCTTCCTTTTTATCCGTTATCAAAGTGACTTAAATGCCATTCGAGTCAATCCAAATGAAAACACCAAAAATGAATTTAAAAGTGCGCTGCATGATTTTTTATTGTAATGAAAAAAATTGAGGATGATCTTTTAGGTGTCAAATATGAAAATCCGTTGCCGTTTTAATTTTTTGCTGCTTTACTTTTATTTGGCACCCCTTAGAAGTCTGAAATAGTGTCAATTTCTTACTCTCTTATAGTGGGCCAGAACTTTTTTTCTGTGACAAATAATGAAATAATTTTAATTTTGTTTTACTGTCCAGTAAGTGTGTTTTCGATATAAATTATTATTATCCAATTAGTTAATCTCATAAAAGAATGGTAAACCACTAAAGATTCATGATAATTTGCCAATTTTTGTGATTTTTGTCTGGCTCCTGTGCCTATTCTACTGAATTTAGAAGGTTCATTTTTTTCAGGTATAAGTACTTATACAATAGAAAACGTAACTATTATTTTAAGTTTTTAGACTATCAATTTCTTTATTAAAAAAAATATTGAAAATTGATAATTCTCAAAATTAGCCAATTTCGCCCTCAGAAATCATTATGTTGAGGAAAAAATAAAAATCTGAAACTTTCAGGAAATGTAGTCCCCACCTTCATCTTTTCAGTCCAGTTAGTCTTGTTTTGTTATTTTTATTCCTTTAAAACATATATTAATTTTTTTAATGCCCGTTTAGTAGCGATATTGTTAGTTTTATTTATAATTTAAAATTTAGATGGCTTTGACTTTGTCAATTCATGTTTGTTAGAGACATGTCAGAACTGTCAAAAATATTTCATAAATTTTATTTGTGCGTATTTAAATTGTGATTGCAAGTGTAATAAATGAGTGTTCGAGATTCATGAATTTAATTGCAATTAAAAATGCAAGAACATATCATAATTTTGTACCTCTTTCTTATAGAAAATATTTAAGTTCTGAGAAGTTTTAAATTGTTAAAAATAAGCAAAAACCAAACATGTTTTATTTTAACCAGTTACCTAAAAACTAAAATTTAAAGAAGTATTTACAGATTGTGTAAATTTTTTCCAACACTAACATTTAAAATACATAAATTTAACTTTTTACTATTTAGTGCCTTACTAAAGGTATCAAAATAATAGAACAAGACTAACTTGGTTTAAATTGTGAAAGAAACCGACAAAAAACTGCTTAACGCATTTTTTATACGTTTAAATTAACTCTTTATTAATTTCACTTATTATACTTAACGATATAAACCATAAGGATCTTGAATATATTTTTTATCTTCTTTAAACACCAATTAGCCAATTAAATACTTCGTTAAAATGTATATAATATATAATCATATATATATATATATATGATTTTTCAATACATAAAATATAACATAACTACCAAAAATATCAGAACTGTCAAAAATATTTCATAATTATTATTTGTGGTATTCCTTTGGTGATTTTAAAAGTTTTTTATATAACATAATATGACATATTTATATACAAAATTTACCAAAGAAATACGCACAAATAATATTTATGAAATATTTTTGACAGTTCTGACACTTCTCCACCAAACATGAAAGCCATCTAAATTTTAAATTATAAATAAAACTACACGGAAAGAAATGGATAGTCGAAAATTTATAGTACACTATTTTTATTAATAGTCACTATAAATTATATTAAAAACAACATACCAAGTTATTAGCACTGACTATAAAAATATTTTAAAATAGAATTGTAACTTTAAATATAATTTTTAGTAAGTAATACACAACAAATATAGTAACATATTCAATTAACTATATTTTATACCATCTTTAACTAAAATAAATTTAGTTACACCAGATTTTAAATTATGGTTGTAATAAATATACGAGATATTGCTTATTACTATAATTATGATAAAATTAACTCCCTTGTATAGTCAACCACCATGAGTCAACTTTAAACTTGTCTAGTGACGAGCCGATCTTTCATTTGCATTGCATAGCAACAGTGGCAGTGGTAAGAGTAGGTTGTTATTTTGTGGTGCATCGTATTATTTAAATATGTTACAATTTTGGTTTAATTTCAAGTATTTTAAGAAGGGAAGTAAATGAATTTATTAGATTATGTAAAAAGCTAACATCCACTTACAAAGTTATGAATATGTCTAAATAGTACAAATTAATTTTATAAAAATACCGAATTATTTAGATACTTAAACTTAACTTTTAATTTTATCTTTTGTTCTCTTGTGATAATTAGAGTTTAAGAAAAACTGTTATATTAATTTATTTTTGAAATATTTTTTGTTTTGTTTTAAAATATGTTACAATTTTGGTTTAATTTCAATTATTTTAAGAAGGGAAGTAAATGAATTTATTTATAGATTATGTAAAAAGCTAACATTTACTGTCATTCACAAATTAATTTTATAAAAATACCGAATTATTTAGATACTTAAACTTAACTTTTAATTTTATATGTTGTTCTCTTGTGATAAATAGAGTCTAAGAAAAAACTATTTTTAGTTATTTTTGTAATATTTTTGTTTTGTTTTAAAATATGTTTGTGGCAATAAATATATAAAATATTTATATGATGCTTTTATTTTATAATTTTATGTATGTTTGTATACAGCTGTACTCTAGAGTGATTCAGAAGACCTCTTGACATTTCATCCCATAATTCTGAATCACCCTTTATATGTTCCAAAAAAACTGTTAAATATTACTATAAAAACTAGTTAATATTTACTAAAATTTATAGTAAAACATACCAAATAAAATATAATTTAAAGAAAAAAAATAGTAAATCTTATAAAAAAATATAGTTAAAATTATTATACCAAGATATTTATTACTAATATATTGTTTTTTAAATATTACTATAACATTTTAATAAAAGCTAACATAATATTTTTGTACAAATTACTAGAAGGCATATATTAAAATTAATTATATGCATATATTTAAAAAAATCATACAATATAGTTAAATTTACTAAACAATAATGTAAGATAATTAACATATTTTTATAGTAAATTTTAAAATATCAGATAGCTGTCCCTATATTTATTAAAAATTATAGTATAACTTACTAGATTTATATTAATTATTATTATAATGACTATATATTTCTTTCCGTGTAACAATATCGCTACTAAACGGGCATTAAAAAAATTAATATATCTTTTAAAGAAATAAAAATAACAAAACAAAACTAACTGGACTGAGAAGATGAAGGTGGGGACTACATTTCCTGAAAGTTTCAGATTTTTATTTTTTCCTCAACATAATGATTTCTGAGGGCAAAATTGGCTAATTTTGAGAATTATCAATTTTCAATAATTTTTTTAATAAAGAAATTGATAGTCTAGAAACTTAAAATAATAGCTGGCCATACACAGACGTTATTGCGCGCGGTTTATCGTGTTATCTGCAAAAACATATGGAAAATCATGTACGTGAGTGAGTATCGCCGCGCGAAATGATAGAACGGGAAGGGATTTCAGACGTGCTTTTCTCTGGAGTGTGGCGTGTCCACACGCCACATTCCGCGTCACGGTTTGCCTTTGCTTGGCAAAATTTCACGTTGAAAATTTGTACATGATCACATGCAGTTTCAAACAACTCGATAAATGACACTTTGCCCACTCACATACGATTTTTCCTTTGAAACTGATATACCACGGGCAATCACTTGCTAAATCATTTGAATACTATATCAAGTGTATGGAACATGACGCTTTTTTTGGCATGCCGTTCTTTCGTGCATACTAACCGCTACATCCCAACACGCCACGATAAACCGCGCGAAATAACGCCTGTGTATGGCCAGCTAATAGCTGGCCATACACAGGCGTTATTTCGCGCGGTTTATCGTGGCGTGTTGGGATGTAGCGGTTAGTATGCACGAAAGAACGGCATGGCAAAAAAAGCGTCATGTTCCATACACTTGATAAAGTATTCAAATGATTTAGCAAGTGATTGCCCGTGGTATATCAGTTTCAAAGGAAAAATCGTATGTGAGTTGGCAAAAAGTGTCATTTATCGAGTCGTTTGAAACTGCATGTGATCATGTACAAATTTTCAACGTGAAATTTTGCCAAGCAAAGGTAAACCGTGACGCGGAATGTGGCGTGTGGACACGCCACACTCCAGAGAAAAGCACGTCTGAAATCCCTTCCCGTTCTATCATTTCGCGCGGCGATACTCACTCACGTACATGATTTTCCATATGTTTTTGCAGATAACACGATAAACCGCGCGCAATAACGTCTGTGTATGGCCAGCTAATGGTTAAGTTTTCTATTGTATAAGTACTTTATACCTGAAAAAAATGAACCTTCTAAATTCAGTAGAATAGGCACAGGAGCCAGACAAAAATCACAAAAATTGGCAAATTATCATGAATCTTTAGTGGTTTACCATTCTTTAATGAGATTAACTAATTGGATAATAATAATTTATATTGAAAACACACTTACTGGACAGTAAAACAAAATTAAAATTATTTCAATATTTGTCACAGAAAAAAAGTTCTGGCCCACTATAAGAGAGTAAGAAATTGACACTATTTCAGACTTCTAAGGGGTGCCAAATAAAAGTAAAGCAATAAAAAATTAAAACGGCAACGGATTTTCATATTTGACACCTAAAAGATCATCCTCAAATTTTTTCATCAAAATAAAAAATCACGCAGCGCACCCCATTTGGTGTTTTTATTTGGAATGACTCATTCAACTACGACGTTTTCATGTAAGAAACAAATTATCAACAAAAATCGTATTTTTTTGGTAGTCAGAATTAAGAGTATCTACATTAAAAAATCGACTATTTTTATTTTGACTTCTGCCACTGAAAAATCGGTTTCTGGGCACCTTCAAAACATGCTTAGCAACGATGAGCTCTTAACTTTGATGGAAAGATCCGCCTCATTACAGTTTTGCATATTTTTCTTAGTCCCCTACAAAAAAATTCATATTTCATCATTCGTTAATCATACAGCAAAACTCTAAAGGAGTTATTTGTAGAAAATTAAATGTTCTACAAAAAAGATCTCCTATACTTTTTTGATCAATCTAACTATTAAAGAGATATTAAAGGTCAAAGATTGAAGAATTTTAAGAAAGATAACTTTTCTGTTCTGAATTTTGTAACTTACTGAAAAAAAATTATCGACAATTGAGATTTTACTATGTCTATCGGAAATTGAACGCTCTACAAAAAAGGTCTCTTAGGATTTATCGATTACTCTAACCAATCAGAAGATATTCACATTGGAATGTCAGTCCATACTGCTATTCATAGTTTTTTAATGATTTTTTCCAATTCATCTGCACATGTGTAATTTATAAATTTTGAGATAATTCATAAAATTTAAGTTCATCTTGATGAAATGTCAGTTCCCAAATTATGTCTTATCTTTCGTTTGAGAATGTATTGCTTTCAATCAATTGCTTAACAATAATTTTTTTCTATACTTTCACTCTTATCACGGTTTAGGTTCGTTTATTTATTTTAACGGATTTATCTAATATGTAACTTATTCAATATGTAACTTATCTAATATGTAACTCATATTTCTTTTTCTACAAAATTTGAAATTAAAAACTTTCTTTTTGCAATTGATGTGTGCACTGATATTCCAATGCGAATATCTTTTGATTGGTTAGAGTAATCGATAAATCCTAAGAGACCTTTTTTGTAGAGCGTTCAATTTCCGAAAGACATAGTAAAATCTCAATTGTCGATAATTTTTTTTTCAGTAAGTTACAAAATTCAGAACAGGAAAGTAATCTTTCTTAAAATTCTTCAATCTTTGACCTTGAATATCTCTTTAATAGTTAGATTGATCAAAAAAGTATAGGAAATCTTTTTTGTAGAACATTTAATTTTCTACATATAGCTAACTCCTTTAGAGTTTTGCTGTATGATGAATGATGAGATATGAATTTTTTTGTAGGGGACTAAGAAAAATATGCAAAACTGTAATGAGGCGGATCTTCCCATCAAAGTTAAGAGCTCATCGTTGCTAAGCATGTTTTGAAGGTGCCCAGAAACCGATTTTTCAGTGGCAGAAGTCAAAATAAAAATAGTCGATTTTTTTGACCCACCCTAGTATATAGATTAATCCAATAGGTTTTTTGATGAAACAACATTTTCAAAAATGACATTTAGACAAACGTTAACTCAACTACATTATTTTTTTCGGTGAAATAGTACTATTTCATTTTAAGACTAATAACTAAACCATTTTCTTGAAAATGCACGGATTGTAGGAACGTTTAGTTTGCTAGGGTTATTTTCATTAAAAGCTTATGTAGCGGAAAGCGTAGCGAGATCTTATCGCAATTTTAAGGTTTAATTTGGGACCGCAATCTCACCCGCAAGTGCAAACATGTGAATATATTAAATAAACGCTTGTTTAACCCAACAAAGTAGAAAAATGCCGGAAAAATGCATCCAGAGTTGGATTATCCATAAGAAAACGTAGAATACTTGTACAATATTAAATTTTTATATGCACGGAGGTTAGGATTTCGTATGTTTTTTTTAATTATTGTACATACATAAAATATTTATAATAAAATCTACTTACTGAGATATTACACCACGGTGGATAGGTTTTTAAATAGCAAATTAATGAACTTAAACTTTTGAATTATAAAACAGCAACACTCTCATCTGCATATAAATTCTAACTGACCTTCAGAAATCACATGCATCTACAGGGTGTAATTAATGTTATATATTAAAATGGGTTGTTCCTTAGGGTCCATAAAGAAGCACCTGAAACTTTGTTTTTCTAAATTCCAAAGACTAAACATAATTTATAATAACCTTTATCCTACCAAAAAGTACGACTAGGAACTTTGGGGTAATCTGGTTGCCTAATTTAATTTATTATGTTATGGTTTGTAACCCTGGTTGGTAACAACAGCGTTTCCAAATTCTGTCAAAAAAGTTGACAAACATTGTTTAAATTTAGCTTAATTACAAAAATGATAAAATTAACAATGCAAATTGTCAATTTGGCGTTTTTATTAATTGTTGGTTATGTCATTTTTGTACTGAAGGTAAATTCAAACTAAATCTGACAACTTTTATGACAGAATCTAGTGCATTTCTTTCAAATTTTAGGTTATGTGCTCAAATTGTAAATATTTTAACTAAGGGAAGTGCTTTTGGATTTATTTACACAAATTAAATGTTTAAAGTTTAACCTGTAAACTGGTCCCAATTTCATCTGAGTAAACAGAAAGAAAAAAACCAAGGAAAAAATTAATTTTGTGGCTATGGATTTTTTAAAATAGGTACTAAATTAATTTTCTAATCATTGCTTAAGCTAATAGCTGGATGAGTAAAGGGTAATTAGAGCTTTAAGGGCATAAAACTTGTATTTATTGAGTTTTTATTTATTTTTTGCAAGAAAAATTTTTAGTAAAAATTGTTTACATCTGGCAACGCGCAGCTACTTTGTTGGTTGGTATCTATGTACTCACAGAACACAAGTGTGCAGAGATAAACCAAGTGTGTAACCAGTGGCGTATCACAAAAAATATAAAAAACTTCTAATGCCTATTTTTTCTTTATCTTAGGAAAAATATTTTTTTAAATATTTTTCCTTTACTCCTTATGTAAAAAGGTATTCAGTATTTTAATATATAACATTAATTACATAACACCCTGTATAATGTCGAAAACAGAGGTTTTTGCTTATTTAAAATGATTAAAGCGCCATCCGTTGCATAAAATTTAATGCAAAAACAGATTCACGGAGGATAGAATCAATTTTTGTGCTACCTACATAAATGGTTATAAAAATTATTTCTTTTAATTTTTAATAATATTTTATATTTGATTCGATTGCTTTGGATGTGTTTAATTTACTTAGTGAACTGATATTTTAAAACATATAGGTTAACCTAGAAAGAGTAACAGTCACGGAGGATAGGTTTAAGACTTTTAAAAAATTGTAAAAAATAATTAATTCCGGTTAAAAATCTGGAACCTGAGCTGTAAAATCTACTTAATTATAAAAGATCAAAACACAATAAAAGTGTAGGTCAAACTCATTTAGTTTTATTAAATATCACGGGGTAACACATATTTCGTGAGATTCACCTTTATATGACATCTGAAAAACTGCCAAGCAGTTTAAAGTTTAAACTTTAAACCTATAAATTATGTTAAATATCCCCTAGCGTTTTAGGCATGTAACGCGTTACAAAAAAAACATTCAAAAAACGCAAAAAAAACGATTTCACGCGTGAAATCGTTTTTTTGCGTTTTTTTTAAATGTTTTTTCTTCCTATTTTATGTTTTTTTCAAACTTTAATTCCGCTTAATTAATATTAATATCCAATCAAAAAAAAAATATTTTAGCAGTAAAATATAATTTAGCAAATGTTAGCAAAAAAAGTAAAAACATTTGTTATAGGAAATTTAGTCTTGTGCAAGAGTCTAAAATCAATATTTTTAGAGGTATACGTTATTAACAAATTAACAGCAGAAAACCATCAAACTTTAAACCAATAAGGTACCTACTTAAATGTGGGGATTTTATTAAAGCTATAGCTTATAACAAAAAAAGATTTACCTACCTACACGGAAAAAAATCTATACTGATTCCAAGAAAATTCAACTCTATCCAAGTATAGCTTAGTTTCCCTATTCCGCAAGTAAATTTATACTTGTTTCAAGTATCCTCATATTCTTATAAAATAAAGATAGCTTCGGTTTAATCTAAGATTACTGCTATACTAAAAATATGAAACACACTAATTTTGAGTTAAGTATACAAATTTGTCTTCAATGAAGACTACGGTATTCTTGTTGTAACGTTAGTATGTACTTCATCAAAGTATAGTTTCTTTGTAAAATCTTTACAGTATTCTTGTTTTAAGAATATACTTTCTTTAAAATTTATTTATTTATACTTATTGTAAGTACACGCTTTACTTGCATAAAATGCTTGTATTCTTACTTTTCCTTTTTTTATATTTGATAAAAGTATAGTATATATTTAAAATAACTTTACACTATTCTTAAAGAAAGTGGTTGATTGGAAAAAAAAGTCCCTCGTCTAGCGACTCGGAATAATTTTTACAAAAAAAAACATTCGTGA